AGTCAACCCTGAGCCGGTGAGATTTGAACAGCCGAACTGCAGAACTGCAGTCAGCTGAAGTAGCCTGCAATGCTGCATTTAACCACTGTGCCACCGATAGATAGATAGATAGATAGATAGATAGATAGATAGATAGATAGATAGATAGATAGATAGATAATAAAATTGGGTGAGACTCACTTAACAACCACCTTGCTTAGCAATGGAAATTCTGATCCCAATGGTGGTTATAAGTCGAGGACTTCCTGAAGTTAATTGCATTAAAGTAATATTACTGCCCATCTCACTGTAGTGACACTAAGCAGCTATGTAATGCTAAAAACATCGTACAAAATACAAGAGAAACCAATATACTATGTACTCTTCAGCGGAACGGCTTTCTTCCGATCCAGGACCTCACAGCCTCCACATATCAAAAAAGCATCATATGATTGTCTCCCAAATGTCCAACTTTTTATTTCCAAGAAGACAATCATTTGACTTTTCTAGTTGGCTTATCATGTTTCCCTATTTTAAAGTGGTCATTTTTAGTTTTATCATTTCTGGATCCTGCTGACTTGTAAAAAAAGAAAGATTGTGTTACTAAAACTCCATCTCTAGAAGATTGTGTGTTAAATAGCGGGGGATCTAGTCATCTTGGTTGCTGGATATATCAGACAATTTGACAACATGAAGAGGATTATCATAGAGATGGCTTGCTCCCTCACAAAATGACTATATCATAGCAGCATGTCTAGTTTAATAAAACTGGAATGGAGAGAAAGATGCATGGTACTATGGAAAATATTTGTAAATATGATGATTTCTGCAAGCAAAGGGGACTATCTTCTTCTTTCATATTTACTGTCTATTATACAAACATTGTATGTAATCATAAGGAATCTTAGGGAACTTAAAGAGACATTCTATCTTGTGTTTCAGCTGCTGCCTTTTTTGTCACTTATGAATATACGAAGGCTGTCCTGCGCACAGCTGATTCTCCATATTTTTCTCCAATTATTCACATGATGGCTGCCTCCTTTGGAGAAATAGTAAGTAAAACTTTTGTTGTTGTTAGTTACGAAGTTGTGTCTGACCCATCATGACCCCATGGACTATGTTCCTCCAGGCCTTCCTGTCCTCCTCTGGAGTCTAGGACTGACCGGTTAGTGAAATGTGCTTAAACAATTGAATTGTTATGATTTTTCCTACCTTCTGGAGTAACTGGGTAGTAATGTATAAGATAATAATGATTATATAACAAAAATAAATGGCAGCTACAAAAATGATATATACTGTAGCTTCAGAACTACATGACATCTCAATACCAAATAAAGTAGATACAATTGTAGAAGATAACTAAAATTCAATAGCATTAGGGCCAACTGTATCTCCTAGAAGGATCCATAATTGTGGTTCTTCTATGAAATGGCCTCATCTTAAATCACTACCCTACAAGGTACATCAGCATAATAGTACAATAGCAGTAATAAAACATGGATTTATCAATACAGAGAGAGACATATACGTATATCTACTGTACCCTTACAATAGGGTTGAAGCTGTTAAAGAGTATGGCTAAATCAATTCACACAATTCCATCTGGAATGGCTGGTTGAATAGGCTAGCTCAGTGTTTTTCAACCTCAGCAATTTTAAGTTGTGTGGACTTCAGCTCCCAGAATTCCACAGCCAGTGGAAGAATATGCTAGTGGAAGAATTCTGGGAGTTGAAGTCCACACATCTGAAAAGTTATTGAGGTTGAAAAACATTGGCCCGATTGAAAACCTGCAATGCCTCTTCCTATTAATAAGGCTATCTGTACTTTGGAAAATAACTTTGTGTTAAAGAGAGATGTATGGATCTGTTTCTTCCCACCGCCAAGCATCCTTCAGGAACCCATCCACAGTATTGTCCACTTCAGCTTATTGAGTACCAATACTACCGTCAGATACTTGCCTGGCCATTTAGTTAGAATGGGCAAATGGTAGATGGGTTATAGTTTTTCTCCTCTAACTTACTGGTTGCAAATAGCTGAGCCAGGAACTTGGAGCCATGGTTTGCTGGTCCCAGAGCTGGCACAAGTGGGTGAGAGTTTCTCATTCCCTTCTCCCCTGCCAAATGCTATTGAACTGTCTTTGATTGATTCTTCTTTGTGTTCCAGCTTGCAACACAAAAGGGTAAAAATTGTAATTATAGCTTTATTGATTAGTCATTAGACTTTAATCAAGCCACAACCACAGGGAAAGGCTATTATTTGGTAAGCAGGCTCAACTTTCAGCACGGCTTCCCTCCCTACACTTAAATTGTTGTTGGACTGTAACAAATGGCTGGTCTGTAGATATGTAGTAATAAGGTGCAGGCAGAAGCTTAGGTTCCTATGAAATGGCTCTTCTATAAAGACCAAAACCATGGTCTTTATATAGATTGCTCTGATTGAGCTGAATAGGATAGCAGGCACTTTTATTGACAGCTCCTTGTGGATTCTCATCAGGAGAGAGCTGACTTCTATCTTGCTGCTTTCTGTTGGAGAAGCAGGCAAGTGGTCCTTGAAACTGTTCAGCTACCAATTGTGATGCTCTGTTTTAAGGAGGCTGCGTGGCTGAGTGATCCAGAGCCTGCTTTGCCTACAGAAGGTCCCAGGTGGCTTGCGATCAGCCTGCAACCCAGAGAATCATTTCACAGGTAGTCCTCGACTTACGATAACAATTGAGCCCCAAACTTCTGTTGCTATGTGAGACAATTGTTAAATGGGTTTTCCCCCCATTTCATGCCGTAGATGTTAAACTGAACCCATACAGTTGTTCAGTTAGTAAGTTGTTAAGTGAATCTGGCTTCCCCGTTGATTTTGTTTGTCAAAAGCTAATCGCATGATAGCAATAATACTTAGACTTACACTTACTGTGTTTCCCCGAAAATAAGACAGGGTCTTATTTTCTTTTGACCCCTGAAAAAACTCTTGGCCTTATTTTTGGGGAGGTCTTATTATTATTATTTTTTAATATATTTTTTTGGTCTTATTATTTTTGAGGTGCAGAAGGCGGTGAGTGTCGTCACCTCATGGCTGCTGCTTTGTTGCAATATTTTCAGGGAGGGCTTATTTTTGGGAGTGGGCTTATTTTAGCGTATATGCTCAAAAGCCCGATTGGCCTTATTATCCCGGGAGGTCTTATTTTCAGGGAAACAGGGTATATACTGCTTCACAGTGCTTTACGTAAACCCCCTCTAAGCGGTTTGCAGCATCAGCATAATTGCCCCCAACAATCTGGGTCCTCATTTTACCCACCTTGGAAAGCTAGAAGGCTGAGTCGACCTTGAGCCTGGTGAGATTCGATCTGCCAAATTGCAGGCAGCCCGCAGTTAGCAGAAGTAGACTGTAGTACTGCACTCTAACCACTGCGCCACCACAGCTCCTGATCCCAGGATACTGCAATTATAAACACTAAATAGGGTTCACTAAAACTGGTGAACCAGAAATACTGATTCACTGAATCTGAACCAGTTGCCGAGCATCTGAATTTTGATCACGTAATCCTGAGGATGCTGCAATGGTTGTTAAGTGTGAAAAATGGTAATGTCACTTTTTTCAGAGCTGTTGTAACTTTAAATGGTCACTAAATGAATGTTTGTAATTTTGTAAGTCGAGGACTAGTGACTAGCTGTAGTCACTATAGATACTATAGTTCTGGGATGGCGAACCTATGGCACGCGTGCCACATCTCGCACACAGAGCCATTTGTCAGGGCACGTGAGGCATTGCCCTGTCAGCTGGCCAGCTGAGTTCAGCCTTTTTTAAAGACATTTTTCGCCCTCCCCAGGCTCCAGAGGCAAAAACAGGGGCTTCAGGAGTTTCCCTGAAGCCTCCGGAGCACAAAAACCAGCCCTCGTAGAGCTGCTTTAAGCCCTCTGGAGCCTTTAGGGAAGCCTCCTGAAGGTCACTGAAGGCTCTGGACGACCAAAAATTGGCCCTACGAGATAACCGAAAGTGATTTCCGGTTTGCTCGTAGGGTCATTTTTCGTCCTCTGAAGTCTTCAGGAAGCCTCCTGAAGGTGCCTGAAGGCTCTGGAGAGCCTCCTGGGGGAAACTTTTTTCTGCCTCCCCAGGCTCCTATAAAGCCTCTGGAGCCTGGGGAGGGAGAAAAAAGCATGCAAAAAATGGGGGAAGGGCCTGTCATGCGCGCATGCACGTTGGGGGGTCACGCATTGCATTATAGGTGCGGCACGCCCACGCACAACCCTCCTGTGCTCCCCCGCTTATGGCACGCGAGCCAAAAAAGGTTCGCCATCGCTGGTCTAGTTACATGAGTTAACTCTTTCATTCACAATATAGCTTGGTTTTGGATTACTATCTTGTATGACTGCAGGATTCATGTTTCAGCGTACCCAAACAAAATGAGGTCTTTTTTTAAGAATAACCTGTCGACTGCTTTTTTATTCATAACATATACATATACATAATTTGTAAAAGGGGGAGGAGAATTTGCTGCTTTTTCTTTTCTTTCAATACCCAGCCAAGCTGGATCCTACATGTTAAATGTTAAATTTAATTGATCACTTTTTCCTCCTCTTTTGTACACTGTTTTTCCCCCTTTTGTTGCTGTTGTTAGGATTGAATGCATCCATTTGTTTTATTTCATTTTGTTTCTTTTACTGTTTGTATTTTATTTTTCACGGTAAAACAATATTAAACAAAACTATTAAGGGTCTATTAATTAAATAATTATTATTAAACAAACGTTGCATTAGTCAACTGTTTATCTGTCTGTCAGACCTTGAAGTCATCTTTTACATTTGGGCCTTCAGGCCTGCCACATTTTGTTCTGTGGGAAAATGGGAGGGGGGATTATATAGAGTGTGGATGATATATACTCAAAATAACATTCCTTTCTCAGAAAGTTAAGGTCACCTTACCCTGCAGCTGCGATGAGGTGACTGGGAGGTATCTCCAGTTTTGGATGGTGCCTGATTGGAGCATATGATGGACATCCAGGTGCTGGGCAAGGACTTGAACTTTCTTTTGGGTGGGGAAAACCTGGAAGTTTTCCGATTTGGCTTTTCCCAGATGTGCCAATATGACATTTCTAATAAAATAGAACTTTGAGGACACTCAAGCCTCGGAGCCTTCTTTCATTAGGGGTGTTACTTGGAAATCCGACACTGGCTTGAACAAGATCCTAAGACTTTTAAAAGTATGATTTATATGCCATAATGGCTGGATTCACATGCTTCTCCAAACCATAATGTAGCCTGCTTTGGTTTTTAATGTTGCATGAACCTCAGCTGCATAAATCGGATGTCCATGATCCAATGTACAACAAAGGGACCGATAGGACATGAGCAGTGACTCTTAAATGAATCACAGCAGGTTCTGAAATATTCATAAACTGTTGGGCTTGTTCATGTTATAAAGATGCTAGGATTCTGCCAAACTCCTGTGCAAGAGAGCGGATAACACATTGTTAAAAGTGCTGGGGGAGGGGGAAAAATGAGATTCTGCCTCTAGAACCTGGTGGAGAAAATGAAGGGCGGTTATATTGGGAGGAAACTTAAATTACAGCTGCAGCTTGAAATTGCTTGTAAATCAAGATGAATGGAAGCAGAGAGTTACAAGCAACGCCAGCAGATTCATCACACAATTAAAGGCTAAACCAGAAAATTAAGAACTGTCAGTTATCTGAGCAGCTGCCCACATGGTTTTCATGGGAATTATATTCAGGCACATTCCCTTTCTGTTTTTTTTTTACTACCCATATTACTTTGGTTTATAGGATTTACTATGCTGTGGCTGTTGCTGTTTCATCCTAACCCCCGAACTCCAAGAGTTTTGGTCAAAGGGATGAACAGGTAGTAGGTACAGGTAGTCCTGGGTACGTAGTAGACATGGATATATATTTGTAGATTATTTGGAGATTGCAGCCCTGGTTCAGCAGTAAACTTCATATCCTTGTTTCCACACCCACCCATCCTGATTTTTCCTGCTGTAGCTGTGACTTAAGTCTTTACCCGCTCCCTTACAATTAGCATTTTCAAAATTTATTTTTTTTGTGATTGGCCTTTTAGTTTAATTCTCAGAGGAGCTATTGGACTGTGATCCCCAGCCTTCTTCATCCAAGGGCCCTTCAAAATTGTTGGGGCCACAATTCTCAGAATAGCTAAGCTAGCTATATTGTCTGCCTGCCTGCCTGCCTGCCTCCATTAGATAAATAGATAGATAGATAGATAGATAGATAGATAGATAGATAGATAGATAGATAGATAGATGATAGATAGATAG